TGCTGGGTCCGGGGACAGGAAAGGGAGAGTTCATTTCAGATTCTGCCCAGACAAAAAAGGAGGGAGAGCGAATTGTCCATCCACCTTCACCTTCCAGACCACTGCCTCTCACCTTGTTTCTTCAGCATCTGGTAGGCCTCTGAGATCTTCACCTCGTGAGGCAGCCCCAATGTCCAGCTGTACATCAGCTCCAGGATCTTTGACTTCACTTTTTCTGGTGTCCGGCTGCCAAGATACTAGAGGAAGAGAGAAGAGGTGGCTTGAAGCTGATCTGAGCCGTTGCAAGCTTGGCCTGTTCTTCCCCTCCCCTCCCCCAGGAGAAGTGAGACCGTTCCCAACGGCACAAGGAGGAGGAGGAAAGAGGAAGCAAGCGGGAAAGCTCACGAGGCCCTTGCAACATGTCCTATGCTGCGCTTGGTTTCCACCACAGGAAACACAAGAGGTGGGAGAAATGCTGCACCAGCAGCCCCTCAACAACACGCAGGGACAGGTGGGAAGGCTCAGGTGGATCCCTGTCACCTTGTGAAGGAAAGGGTACTGCCAATAGAAGCTGCTTAGCAAGGCAGCCCTTCAGGAATGAAGGGACAGCAGGACTGGGAGGGGAAGGACTGTGGGTCCCTGGGGCAGGGCCCAGCCCTCTCTCAGGGGCACTCTCCAGCACAAAGTGCCTGGCACTTGTTAGAGCTAGGTGAGCCCCAGATGACCAGCACCCTGCAGTGAGATCTCCAAATGTTACAGCTCTCCCCCTGTCATAAAAACACCCTTCTCCCGTGCGTCTGTTGGGCAGAGGCAATGCCTGTGCCACCAGAGGCTAGTGGCTTAAGGCAGAGGACATTCTCTAGGGTGCCTAGCAAGAGGACTTTAGTGTGCTGCTGTCACTGTCCTTGGCTATTCATCATCACCAATCACAAAGCTGTGACTGGCAGATGAAGATTTTCCTTACTCGTATTCAGTCTGTGTTCACTTAACTCCATCCTTGCTGGTGTTAACTGCCATGACTGCATAGGAGAGCACGCACAGCTTGTTCTGCTGCAGGAACAGCAAAGGAGCAGGTAATGACTTGGTGCTTTAGATGGACTTGCCAGAGCACCACTGACCAGGCCTGGGCTTGCCCTCTGAGAGTGTCTCAACCAGGTTGGGACACTCCAGAGAGACATGGTCACGATGTCAAAGCTGAGGGAGATTCCTAAGCACAGACAGGGCTGACAGAGATGCAGGGAAGGTGACTCCAGGCACGCAGATGAGGTCAGTAGTCTCACAAGTGCTGGTTGCATCATGTCTAGCTGGCCCTCAGCTTCCCACATCAAGAATCAGCCAGGGGCAGAGGGGTGAAAGCTCACCTTCCCACTGGAAAACTCACCAAGTAACAAGGACTACATCTCCTACTAGCATTGTTCTGTTTCCCCCACATCCCAGTGGGCGTTTGACCTTCCCACTCAGCCACTACTTCTTCCCAAAGCCCTCCTGACACCAGGCTCCGGTCCCCTCCAGCACAATGCCCTGAGACCCACCTTAGGTGACACCACTTTGATGAGCTCATTGAGGAAGCGGAACTTGCCCACCTCGTCGTGGAACCGTTTGCCGCAGCTCTTCATGCAGGACTCCAGAACCTGGGGAGAGGGGCCAGGTGAGCCCCAGCACAGGGTCAGCAGCAGGTTCAGGAGGGAGCAGCTCCCTCCTTTTCCCCCCTCCACAGGCACGGAGCCTGTGGCTATGCTCACAGCAGCGTGGAGGGACACCCCCTTCCCTCCCAGGAGGCCAATCATGATCCCAAAGAGAGGCAAGAAGATTTTCCTCTTTGGGGTAAGTCTTTGCAGAGGTGGCTCAACAGCCCATGGAAGGAGATACCCTTAAGACAGCTCACAAATACTTTCACAGCGTGGATCCACAACACAATTAAGCGAACAAAAACCTTCCTATCGACTTTGACAGGCTACGATCCTTCCCAGGAACAAGACCTTTCCTACCAGTCACCCCTCCTCTCTTGTGGAACCACCTTCACCCCCTCTCCCACCCAAGGGCTCAGGTGCTCCAGGGCTTTCTAAGAGGGAGTTCAAAGTTTCCCATGCTTCTCCAGTCAAACTGGAGCAACCCCACACTCTGGCCTTCCATCTAGTTCTACGAGCCTGCAGATGCCCTTACCGTGAGGGCCTGGAGAGCTTCCCATTCCTGCGGAGACTGGATCTTGTGGGCAAGAAGTCGGGTAGCAAGCGGAGGACTGGAAGGAACAAGGGGGAAAAAGCTAGCCGGTTATTGATGAAAAACCTGGTACCTGTGTTTCTATCTGGGAATCCAGAGTTGAAAAGCATGTTGCAAGTTTAGGGCACTGATAAGGCACCAAGACACCTCAAAACCCCTGGGGAACCTTCCATTAGTGGACCACGACCTCCCCCCCCACACACTTTGAAAGGCTTCATGCCGATTCAGCTCTTAGGACAACCCCACTGATGCTCACCACATGGGGAATCAAAACCCAAGCCCACGACATGGAGCAGCCTGGGGAAAAGAAGCAGCACTTACCCCTCTAGCTCCTTATTGAGCTGCTCACAGAAAGCGTTGATACCATCCCAGTCCAGGTCCTTGTTCAGGGGGTTTGTCGCTTTGTCTGCGGGAGGGGAAAGGGGATGGTGAGAAAGTCTCCCCAGGCTCCCACCCTGCGGAGGTGAGGAGCGACACTGCTCCCGCTCCCTCGCCGCCAAGTCCACCCGGTGCATCAGTGGACGACGGCGTGACGGAAAAACACGCCCGTGCCCGCTTGTACAAGCCCCGTGCACACACTCCCTC